TTATATTTATTTATTTAATAATACTTTTTATGCATTTAATAGCAGAATGTAAACTTATATCATGTGGTGTAGGTATGGCGTTGAAGTTTACATAAAAAATGAATTGTAATTGTAAAATACTACCAGGAAAAAACATAACATTTCTAAAACAACGGAAGAATTCAATTCATAGCTCAGGTCTCAGGAGAACAATTTGCAGGTCATGAATAAGGAATTGAATATCCTTTTGTGCAAAATAGATAAATCCAGAGCACATAAATATCAGCGAAATATAGGCATGTTGCATCGTTGGAATTCACCAAGCAATATGGGGTCTCTGAAGTCTGAACCCAGCACAAGGAATTGGGATAAAGCTTCAAAGAACAGAGCACCCTGGTAAACGTTGGTTGCGCCCACAATCTCCGTGATCACGCTCCTCCTGAACCTACTAGCATCAAGAAATACGGCCATCATCTCCTCCATTTCCTCATTTACAGCCTCCTCGATGCCTATTTTCTTCCCCTCGCAAGAGACCTAGTCCTTAGTGTTCTTCCTAACGGCGGCCGTCTGCGCCTTCCTGACCCTCTAAACCAACGCCGTAACCATCAGCCTTAACCCACGTTCAATCTGCTCAATTCTCGCTATCAGAATGTTGGATGGATTGTTCCTGCCACGGCTTATCAAGGGTTTTGGGCAATCTGACGGCGGCCCCAAAGGAGAAAACCGTCGATTTCGTCGTCCTCGTAGTTGTTGGCTTCTTCGATGAAAGAGCGGAGGAGATTCGTGAAGAGATAATGGTGGATATCCCCAAGAAAGAGGAAGAGGATTTCGAGGGGGTTGCGCCAAGAAGAGGGGAAAAGAAAGTGGAAGACATCATTAGAGGCGGCAAGGTCGAGGGCATCGTAGTAGGAGAGCAAGTGTTTGGAGGAGGAGGTCAATGCGGTAAGAGATGAGGGCGTGCGACAGCGAGGAGAGGGACTGACGTAGGTGAGGAAGGAGGCTGTTGTTGAGAGAATCGAACCACTCCGCGAAGAAGTCTTTGAAGGGCGTGTTGAGTGCAAGAATCCACGAGTCGAGTTTAAAACAATAAATTTATATAGTAATATACACAATTTTTAAATGATATTAAAATTTAAGTTTTTGTCTTGACAAACCCAAGCTTACTTATAAGATGACGTATTAATTTACGTGTTAAAACTCGACATTCATAACAGAGTATAAAGTGGATTTCTTGAAAAAGAGAGAGAAGGGACTTGGCATCTTGGAGAAGAAGTTGATAATGGCGAAATCGAACGGCGATTGAACCTCCCTCCTCTTCTCCGGGGACGGAGTGAGGAGGAAAGGAGGAATGGCTTTTGGAGGGAAAAATGTGGGTTCGGGGCTTTGGGCTAGTCTCATTGAACGAAGGCTAGAGCTCTCTTCAGCTTTTATTAAGCCCGACTATTGAATTAAAAGCTCATATACTCGCTTCTTCAACCCACTTGGAAATTGGTTCACCACTTCATGATGATAACGGGCCCATCTATCAGACCCTCTTGAGGAACATTTGCAATTATGTGTCTTTAAAATTGTCTAGAAATAAATTAGTATTGAAATGTATAAAAATTAATTTAAGTAAACATTAACATTAAGTATTATGTTTTTTTTTTTTTTTGTCAACAAATGACTGAAGGTAGATATTGGAAGGATTTTGGAGATCGATGAAAAATAGGAAAATTAATCTGATTCCCGGAATCACTTTCGACTCTATAGTCAAGACTACATAAGCTGTTTATCTCATTTAGTAAGAATTTGATCAAATTAAAAATTGAAAATAAAAATCCTAAAATTGGATTTACTGTTAAATAAGTATTATTTGTAGATTGAGTTTAGAGTTTTTGTCAAGGACAAACACTCAAGAAAATTTTACCTATTCGAAGGCATCAGACTAATATAGGTTTTTGAAAATGCATATTTAAAATTGCTCAATGAGAAATTAATTTTGAAATATATGAAGGTTGATTTAAAGATAATAACCCAAATTTTTTTTTTAAAAAAATTAACAATCAATTTGGATGTCACATGTGCACATGACAAAATGCTTGCCCGACAAGAATATGATGTTCTAATAATTGATATATTTATGTTTGTCCGTTGCAAGCTTGCAAGCTAGGAACTGGCTGTCATGTCCTTTATTCTATAGCTAATTTTCTGCTCGCCGCTGCGTGTGGTACAGTGGTGGAGGGACACACACTCAAAAAAATTAATGTTTTTGCATTTCTCAGGAGTACTCCTAGGCTTGTGCACTGCATGCTACGATCGTAAATTAAAGAAAGACCCCACGTTGCCTGTAACAGTCTTGAGTCCTACAAACATGCACACCAGCACAAAAATGATCGGCATATATATATATATATATTAGGATTTATCTATGATAAACTTTTGGATCCCCCAACCATGGTTTTAAAACCTGGTCCAACCTGGTCCAACCTGGCTCGATTCGATTGAATCGGTTCAATTGGATCTGGGCTAAAAAATGGACCGATTTCATGCATTGACCCGTTTTGAAAGTTAACCCGTTCAAACCCATTTAACCCGCTAAACCCGACCCAAATACCCAACTCATTCCACCCACTGGGTAAAAACTACCATCTCCTTTATTAACTTTTTTTTTTTTTAATGTGATTTGCCTATTTTATCCTTTTTTAAAAATGATATTACATTAAAAACCTTAAATTTACACTTAAATTAAATTTAAAACCCTAATAAGAAGGTACTATTATGTAAAAACAACATGAGAAAAGCAAAATTAGAAAGCAAAAGCAGAATTGCAATGCAAAAGACATCATCGGGCCATCGGCATCCCTCTCCCTCATCCTTGCTCCATCTCCGTGAGTCCGTCGGCATCTCCACTGCTGAACAGAAGCAACAAAGCACTTAATCTCCTTATTCCACTTCCGTCAACATCTCAATCACCAGTCCTCCGTTGGTCGCATCTCCTTTGCTGAATTGAACATAAGCAACAGATCGAGTAGCCTAATCTCCTTGCATCTCCATTGGCAGCTCAGCACCTCTCCTCCGTGGGTAGCATCCTGATAAAGTTCATAGCCTCACGCCTTCACCACTCATCTTCCTCTCCTTTACCGGCCCAAACAGAAGAAGCAAAGCATAACATATCATTATATCATTTAATGAATAGACTATTAAGACTTATTTTTTACATTTGTTTTTGTTGCATGATTTTACAATTTCAATTTCAAGGTATTGAGGATAAGGAAGTTAGTGGTTCTATTGAAGGAATTGAATTAGAAATAATTGGTGATGGACTTGAAAATAGTGATA